TACATGCTACAGCTGTATGGTTAAAAAGTATGGTATGCAGACGATGGAATACTCGTCATCTATTGAAAATAGGTAAGTCCAAATTTAAAAATATAAAATATATGTTATGCAGTGTTTATGTTGTGCGCAAACGAGTCATCGATATCTAGGTAAACAATTTGGATTGTGCGCAAACGAGTTGCAACCACGATTAAAGATATACTATATCTTTAATCGTGGTTGCAACGGTAGTTTTGGCGACACGCTGGTCGGACGATAACAATAATAATAATTAGAGTTAGGATGTTGATGACCTAAAAAACACACAAAAATGCCCTTAAAAAATTGCAAAAAAGCCCTAAAAAAAGTGCAAAAATGACCTTAAAAATTATCTAAAATACTAATTAAGTAAGTGAAAAAACTTATTTATAAATAATAATTTTTATTAGAGATATGGGTATAATAATGGGTGTAATAGTAGAAGCATTTAAATAATTTATAAATAAATTTCAATATTAAAAATAAATAACAAAAAACACTACTGACAATAGTTTCTTTTACTGAAATTATAAGCACGTCAATCAATAGGTCTAATATGTCTATGTCAATTTAATCTTGTTTATCGGATTTATTCCATACATTTATAAATATAATACTCGATAAGCGTGTAAAAAGCACTCGTTTCATCAATATATAACACTCAAAGAGTAAATCTTATCGGACCACGATAAATGTAATCACAACAAAAACCCCACAATAATATTATTAAAATTATTTTTTACTAATAGTCCAAATCCAAAGTTAGATTTTAAATAAATTAAATTTGTTTCCAAACTTGGGTGTAACATTTGCCATAAAATCTATAATTTGTGAAAAATGCCCCACATTGTATAAAAAGTGCAAAAAATGCCCTAAAAGATGAAAAAATGACTTAAAAATGTGGAAAAATGACGTTAAAAAACAAAAAAAATGCATTTATAGCTAAAAATGCAAAATAAAATTAGAATATTCTGCATCAAGGTAACATGAAACAAATTTTTAGCTAGGATAGCATCAGTGGCGGCTATCAAACAAAATAAAGGTGTATCAAATTTTGAATTTAGTTACCCACCCACCAACTCTGGTATACAATGGTATACAATTTAGTGCCTAACCAATATTTTACCACCCACCCACCCAATTATAAGGTGTATCGACGGATACACCTTGAGTATAGCATAGCCGCCACTGGATAGCATTGTACAGAATAAAAGGAAAAAAAATGCAAAAGTCATCAACATCCTAACTCTAATAATAATATATCATATCCGTGTATGGTACACATGTAGAGCATTTGACGTATATATATTATATATTATATATTATATATTATATATTATATATTATATATTATATATATTATATATATATATATATTATACGAGATTAGAAATTGCCTAAATGATTCTCCTTAAATCAATGCCATTGCGAGATACGAATGTAAAAACTAAAAACCCAAACAACAATTATTGGGAATAGAGTAAGTAAATCGAAATCGATTTAATAATCAGAATTATTCAGAGGTATTGTACGTAGTTGTGATATTCTGATAGGTATACCGTGTGTCCCAAAAATCAGGGGCCACTTTACTACTCATTACCGTGTAAATATTTTTCAATTCTGTTTGCGGGACATTAAACTAAACTAATGGATCGTAAATTTCTTTGACTCACAATGTTTCTAACTCATGTATCTTGCGCATGCGCAATAAAACTTACATTTTTTTAAATGGCAACCCGTAATTTTAATATCATATTCGGGTTCATCGATTTTTTTCAAGCCATTTTTATGTATCAACTTATGTCCTAAACCCAAAATTGACTAAACTAGAGCTAAGTAGAATTTAAATAATTTAAAAATTCAATTTAATTTATTTTATTTTCTAACTGTACGTACTTATTTTTTTCTTCTAAACACCATGAAACAAACAAACAATCAAAATTATTATTATTAAACTAATTACCTAACTATTTACTATTTATGAATTATTATCTTATTTTATTATTACGCATTATAAAATAACATAGTTTAAACATGTATTTTCAAGAAACAACATTTCTATTTTATTTTTTTTACCATTACTATACATTTTTATTTACAATTTAATTTACAGAAATTACAGACATAAACTATTCAATAAACTAAGAAAAAAATATGTACGTACAGTTAGAAAAATAAAATAAATTAAATTGAATTTTTAAATTATTTAAATTCTACTTAGCTCTAGTTTAGTCAATTTTGGGTTTAGGACATAAGTTGATACATAAAAATGGCTTGAAAAAAATCGATGAACCCGAATATGATATTAAAATTACGGGTTGCCATTTAAAAAAATGTAAGTTTTATTGCGCATGCGCAAGATACATGAGTTAAAAACATTGTGAGTCAAAGAAATTTACGATCCATTAGTCTAGTTTAATGTCCCGCAAACAGAATTGAAAAATATTTACATGGTAATGAGTAGTAAAGTGGCCCCTGATTTTTGGGACACACGGTATATCTACATTGTATTCAAAATAAATATTAAATCATTTATACTATATTATTAATATCTTAGACAAGTTCTATGCCTGAATTCATTAATAAAAATGTTGGTCCATTTGTATCTCATCGGCGAACCATGCAAAGGCATAGAAAATCTAATCAACCAACATCACCACAAACCATGACCGATTTCCATTACCAATTGACTGGAGACTATGTTCATCTTCCAGTGATGGATAATCTACCTATTTATATGGGAAAAATAGGCACTGACCCCGAAGAAGGGATAACAATGTTGTTTGTATTACCAGAAATTAAAAAGTAAATACTATGTAGTACTATGTAATTAGAAAATGAATTATCTTGATAGGTATCTATGTAAATAAATTATAATAACTGTATAAAACCTATTTGTTTTCTTTTTCAGTATACTGAGGACTGGATCAACGTTTTTGATGGATGGTACATTTGCTGCTGCTCCATCATTTAACCGGGAGTGTCAACAGCTATATGTTATAATGGGTATAACATTCAACACCGTGAGTTATACCTAAAAATAATTATACTCATGTATACAAATAATATAATGTGATAATCATTGCAGCTTACCTTAAACCTTAGGTATCTATCTGTGTATACATTTTATAGATTATAAAATGTTTGTATTTTAGGGATTCCCAATTGCATTTGCTTTGATGTCAAGAAAGACAGCGAGGGCTTACAATGCCTTATTTAAATGGCTATTAGAAATTGAGCCACAGTGGACACCACAAACAATTATTGTAGATTTTGAGAGAGCTGCAATGGTGTAATTGAAAGCAATTTTCAATAACGTTACGATAAGGGGTTGTTGGTTCCATAGCTCTCAAGCTCTGTGGAGAAAAGTTGGAGAATTTGGTAAGCTTATAAATTTTTTTGATGGTTCAATAAGTATATATTAAATAATCTTAAATGTATTACAGGAATGATAGAAATATGTACCGGGCATCGAAATGCATATGACATCGTACATATGCTAATGGCATTACCACTTTTGCCTGTGGATAAGGTGATGGAAGGCTTTCTTTCTATAAGATAATTTTACACAGAAAATGTTGAAAATAGTTTGCCAGTGGAAAGCTGAAGAATATTCCAAAGATATTTCCAGTACTCCAAGGTTTGTTAAACCTGAAAAATATTAGAAGAAGATGATATAGGAATATGATGCATTACATTTTAACATTTTAGTTTTACTTAGCATAGTTGTAAAATTGTTTGTCAATTTTAATAACAAAGAACTTTGTTTAAGTAATTGAACAAATTTTTTTAAAATTAAATTTACATATTTATTTTAATTTATTTAGTTGTTAATAATTTAAATATGAATAGTAAAATACTGACACTGATTGAGAAATCATGAATAACAATTACAGTGTATTTAAAAACATAATGTATACATTATACAGGACCAAATGCAGACATCTTGTCCGTAAACAATGTTATTTGGTGGACTCGTGGACAAACAACGTATTGGAAGTTAGCCATCAACACCTCCGCATGCACATGGGTAATATACATCAACCAGAACCATGGGTGTTTTTAAGTTATTTATTTTATAATTTTTACTAATTTACCTTGTACATACTGTTTTTAATAAAAACATTTTTGTCTTCATAAATTTAAATTAATCATCACTATAAGGCACCGTAAATGTCTAACAAAAAAATATAAACTACCATGATAGGTTTTATAAAACATTTAAATTTTGCAGAAGGGTTAATTACATACTCAAGTGGTGTATTGGCCGATTACAATTTGGCAATTGATGGTATCCAGGTCAGGGAACCACAACGGCAAATCTGGATAGACCACCAGCGAAACCTCGATTTGGCTTCTAGGCTGTTAGCTGAAGGGCGTTACACAGTATCTGAATTTTTGGCATGTACTAAACATGTTACCCCAAATTTTGGAGTATAGTCAGACCCATGCATATTGCCCAACCACTTCCACTTCCTGAAATACAAGCGGTCGTTGAGAATCGGCAACCAGTTAATGCCAGGGAATTTATTTTAGAAAGATGGCCTATTGTTGATGGAGAAATAAATAGTACAATTTAATATACTCACTTAGATACAACTATAGCCTATAGGTAATAGTCCTAATATTCTTTTATTTTTAGTATTGCATCTTGTTCATGGGCTGGACAATGAAGAAGAAGAAGAAAATATACCACATCCAGTATTACCTACCGGATAATACATATATTAGTCTTGAAGACTTGACCAGTAAATAAATATTACACAAAATATATATAATCATTAATCATGCATGCATAATAGTATAATACACATTATTATTAAAATGTATATACTTTAATTAATTAACATACTTTGAATTTTCAGTTGAACCAATCATATCTGAAAGCTGTTATATATGCCATTACTCAATGCCCACTGTCATAGCAATACCATGTAGACATCAAGGATTGTGTGCTCCTTGCCATCAAACATACATAAGGATGCCACCATACAGAACAATACCATACTACAGATGCCCTTTATGTAGAGGAGAAATTACAACATATTTCATAATTGTTTGACAAATATAATAATATTCTAATAGCCAAATTTTTCATCTTATTTCACTTTTTCAATATAATTACTTATAATTTATATATGATACAATTTGATGTAGGCACAAATGCACAATAAAATTATTCAAATCTTAGAGACTAGAGTTATCTACACTCAATATTGCAGACAAGATAAAGAAACTAAAAATAAGAATCTTACATTTAAAGTTCACCACTACTGTAAGGAAGCGGCTTTAGATATTTTAACAATAAAAGTATGAACATACTACTTAATATGTAGTTTGTATAAATTTAAACTTATAAAATTAGGTGTAGTTAGTTGTTACATTGTTACTTCTTTTCCCCGGCTTTACGATCCATTGAGGATCTTTACCGCCAAAACTATATCCTCCCATTTCTCTATGTTTTGTTACATTGTTACATTTAAAATAAATAGTGGGTAATATTATTAAACTACATAGGTACCTATTGTAGATAATACATTTATACTGGAAATGTGAAAATGTAAATATTGTAAATACCTCATTACCTAGGACCTAAAGCTAAAGGTGGGCATTTAAATAAAATGAATAATATATGTAACCCAAGTCATGTTAGTTAAGTGAATACAAAGTTGTTAAATTAGAAGTTATTAGTTAGCAAATAAAAAAATTAACTCTCAGTCTAGTCTAAAGGTAATATGAACAAAATATTAACTTAACTCTGTTTAAAATAAAGTTCTATCTACATTTTTAAGCGGCAGGTGGCTCACATTAAGAGTATTTTGTTTCTTTCTATTCTTTCTGTAATATGATATTATATATATAGCAAACACTGTAATGTATATTAGACGTCTAATATACCAATCCATCATAGACGTAAGACATACATGTGATGTAAATGTAGATGTCTATGATAAGTCTAAGATTAGTCTATATGCGCCACTTTTTTAGTCTATTCGAAGATCCAATTAAAGTACCTATCTATCATATATCATGTAGTAGATCAAAGTCAACTCTTTTAACATCTATCCATATACATTAATTAACATTTTAAGTAGACATACCATAATTGGTAAAAAATACTCCATTACATATTATATATTATTGTTTTTAGTTATATTACATAGAACAAAAAATAATAAATTAAAACATACATTATAATCTAAAAAAATATGTAAACATACTACTTAAAATAATACTTATAATTTAAATATAACATACATTTTAGTCAATTTGTTAACATATATTTTATAAATACAATAATAACAATCATCTCTATCAAACAATTAAAAATTCTTTGCAAAAAGCTTAGAATATAAATAATTTAATAATCAATCACAAAATTAGGAACTTAGTAAAATAATTTGGTATTACAGCTTTAATGGGTGATCGTCCTATAAGAACATTCATTTTATTTATATCAATTTATTCTGTTACTATATATAGTTCAGCAGTAGTCATACCGGCATTAAATAATAATAATAATAATAATTCAAAAATAATGACAATTATTTGTCTATGGTTAAATTGCAATTTAAAAATATAAATATTTGTCTTTAAATGTATTATGTTACTATATATAATACATCAGTAGTCATATCAGCATTAAAAAATAAGAAAAAAAATATAATAATAATGTAAAAATAATGAAAATAATATTATGGCTATGGTTAAATAAAAGGATAAAGTGGTATGGTTAAAGTTTACGTATTATTTTTTTGTTTAAGAGTCTGGCGAATTATTTTATTTGAAAGTCTTGTCGAAGCTAATCTTAACCAATTTCGAATTTTTGTTTTGACATCATGCTCAGTTGCATCGGTGTGGAAATTTAAAACAACATCTAATAGTTAACAAAACAAAAAAGAATAATATATAAAAAATAATTTTTGTATAAGTATAATAATATGTATAGATTATTATCACTCAGTGATTATACCTATTATTATAGAATTAAGAGTCAATTCTTTAAATGGATTCTTTGCATTGTTCTATCCATCAAAGTTATAATATTGAGCACATGTATCACTCATTACTGTTCTTAATATAGTAGTGACAGTTTCTTGTATACTATTTCGGCACCCACATTGTCTTAAGCGATTTTTCTAAAATTATAAAAGCAATTAATGAAAAGATTAAGTTTGAATTAATAATTATAAATAAAAAATTACCATTAAATGCTGTGATGCTGGATCTTTCAACTTATTTTCCATTTCAACAACATCTTCTAAGGAATTAAGTGGCAAATTATGGAACCTGCTTCGAAATTTTTCCTGAATACTTAAGCTAGCTGGTTGGACAGTTTGATTATTGGATTGTAATAATTGTTCAAGTAAACAATTAGTGTATAGTGTTGCTTTGAACTGTTTTTGCAGTAGGTTTGCAATAGTTGATAAATTGCATATTAATATAGACATTCTATATGCGTCTATAATTAGTATACAAGAGATCGTAGACGTTATAGACGTATACATAGACGTATAGATTTATCATAGACATCACGTAGACTATATGTATGTTTGCTGGGATTTTATATGTTTAAGAAACAGAAATTTCAATAAATATCATTATATCATCCGTTACTATTATTATTATTATTATTATTACCTATAGTATTTGATTAGGTACTATTATTTTATGTATAAAACCATTAAAACCAACAATTTAAAAATATTTTTAACTTTAAAAAGTTCAAGTCGGGTTTCGGCAGCCAAAGCGATAGCATGTGCGCTGTTCCGTAATGTGTTACGTATCTTATCAGTTTACTTTTAATTGCCATGGCTAATGTGGTTTCTCCTATCGTTATAATTAACAAAAACACCGTTCGCAAATCGAAAATGAATGCCACTCCAACAAAAAGAGCCCTCTCATCGTCATCGTCATCACCAAACTCTCCGGTCCACGAAGACAAAAAGAGCAAAGTTTTTGTTTCCCCAAACCGTTTTGAAGTCTTAAGAACGGAAGACGAAGAACTTGATATCGCCAACCTCCCCGTCTCACCATCCAGCGTAACGTTGCCAGTTCAGAATAACCTCAAACTTCCTAACATCGTCCTAAAAAACGTAAGTGACTTTACTACTCTCAATAAGGATCTTACCCGTTTGGTGGGCCCAGAGAGCTTCACCTGCAAAGCTAAAAAATCCAGTTTAATTTTACGGACAAATACACGAGCTCATTATGTAGCCATTAAATCTTATCTGATCAATGCCGCCTGTGATTTTCACTGTTATCAACCCCGCGCTCTCCAACCGTTCCGCGTTGTATTACGTCACCTCCACCACTCTACCACCACCGAGGACATCATTAATAGCCTAAGAGACCTTGGACACAAAGTTATCAGCATTTCAAACATACTCAATCGTACAAACAAATCGCCACTTCCGTTATTCAATATTTCCCTAGCCCGCAACAGCAACAACAACGACATTTTCAAAATAAACAAATTGTTTAACTCAATTGTGAAATTCGAGCATCCGATAAGGCCACTTGGTCCTCCCCAATGTCACTCTTGTCAAATGTATGGACATACACGCAATTATTGCCACCAACCTCCGCGTTGCGTGAAATGTGGGTTAAGCCACCTCACCGAAGATTGCTCTAAACCACGGGAAGAACCCGTTAAATGCGCCAACTGTAACGGTAACCACACTGCCAACTACAAAGGTTGTCAAATTTTTAAAAATTTACTAAAGCGCACCATTTACAAAGTCGCTTACAAAGCTGACAAAGTTGAAAAACCGAAAAAACACCCCAGCCCACCATCTGCTGTACCTGTTGCACCACAAATCTTCAACGTCCCCAGTTACAACTCAAATCAAAAACCGACATCTTATGCCAAAGCCACAGCCAACTCTTCATCAGTCAATCAACCTCTCCACATCATCAACAAATTTATTGAAGATTTAAAATGTATTTTAAACCCTCTTCTATTGGCTCTTACTTCCCTAATTAACAAAATTACACTTCCCATTTCGTCCACTCCATGACATCCCTCACCCCAAGTTAGAGGGTACCCACACTGGTGGGCCTCCCTCCTCAAGCCATTCATGTTATTATTGTTTCTTTCATTACCTAATTTACTTATTGTATCATAAAAATTACAGATTGTAAATATTCTATTTATCTAATAAAAAAAAAAAAAAAAAAAAAAAAAAAAAAACTTTAAAAAGTTAATTATAAAATAATAATTGTTATCGTGAAGAAGTTTTATTGTAGTAAATTTCACTTTGGTTAATAGTCGTCAACACTATAAGTTTTGTTTTTATATAACTATAAATATTATTTAAATAAATAAATTAAAAAGTACATAGTACTATAAAGATATGTTCAAATTACTATAAACATTGTCAAACAACTAAATTATAAAGTAAAGAGTACTATACAATTATATTTGAATTACTATAAAAATTGTCAAATAACTAAATTTAAAAGTACAGATTACTATTAAGATATGTTCAAATTACTATAAACATTGTCAAATAAATAAATTTAAAAGTAAAGAGTACTATAAAATTATATTCAAATTACTATAAATATTGTTCAAATAATTAAATTGTATAGTAAAGAGTACTAAACATGTTTGGTACAAAACACTATAATTTTTGTCTGGCTTACTATAAAATCATAACTATATATTATTTTTAGTAAATCTGACTAACATTATAGCTATCCCTATAGCAATTGTATAATACAGTTAATTTTACTATTTTTATAGTGAAAATAACCGTTTTGTTTTTTCAGTATCGATATTCGTATATTTTTTCGTATATGACACCGATGATGTGCACTGAAGAAAGAGCGGTTCCACAGAGATTTCCGCAGTTCTGTTATTCGATTTTAGGTAGGTGTATACTGTATAAACTAGGTTGGATAATTTAAACATCTGTCAACACCGTTTGGAATTTCGTATAGTCCAATAGCTGCATGTACATGAGTATAGATATTTTAGAGTGCTTCTTATCTGACACCGTCAGATATACAGATACTTAAGGACGAAATCCCCGTTAATTAACCCTGACAAATGTGTTCGCAGCCGGTCTGAGCGGCGTGGTGATCGGCACTGCTTTTGCGTGGAGCTCGGCATCAGCGAGGTTGACACGGACGTTTGGAAACAACGATTACGCTCTGAACAGCGAATTGGACGACTCCGGTTGGTATCTGGATCCGGTCGCTTGCTATTTCCTGGGGACCACGTTCGGTGGCCTGATCCTGGGTCCGGTGACGAGGAATATCGGTTACCGATGGTCGGTAATTGGTTGCGACATGGTCGTGTTCGTCGGCTGGCTGCTGTTGTCGCAGGTGAACTTGGTGCCCGTCTGGGCCATCCGGCTCACGCACGGCCTCGGCACCGGAGGCCTGGGGTTTCTCATACCCACGTACATCGCACACATCGCCGACTTCCGCATCCGGGGTGAGAACTTTTGCCGAAATTACGCATCGGGTTTGGTCGTGAGATTATAGCTTGACGTTAAATTCCACAATAGTGCATAATATTATTAAGACATGTCCAGAAATGTAATTGGTACTAATAGAATACAGCATAATGTATTATTATATTTTACACGCTGCCCGCGTAAGCACAGGTAATGATTTATATCATGGAAAAACTTATAGCTTAGGGGATTTTTTAGACATCGCCTCTCCGCATCCGGCCCAAAACAAAATATAGGTACTATAGTCTGAATAAATGCGCCATTATATATAATAGGCGTCCCGGAATTCAACGTAGTTATACGTAGTGTGTCGTGTGTATATAATAATATTATACCCAGTGTTATACACCGCAATTGTGTTGTGCGTGACCTAGGTCGGGTACTGGTGTTCCACTACGCGTTCGTGTGTTTCGGAGTGTTCTACGCACACGCGTTCAGCGCCATCGTCACGAACGCCCAGCTGACAGGCGTGTGCATGGTGTGGCCGGCCCTGCACATCCTCATCTCGGTCTTCATGCCCGAGTCGCCGGTGTACGTGTACAAATGCCACGGCGATTCCGAGCACGCGAAAACGGCTATGCGTCGAGTCAAAGGCGAAGACTATTGCGTAGACGAAGACTACATGGCGCTCGAGGTAGGTCGAAACGTTTTCAAAATTGGGACGAGACGATATCGATTATATTATATAAATTCGTTATTTTTCCCCCAAAAAACTAGAGATACGTGTTCGAGTTCGAGTGCATGATCGGTGACAACAGAAGCCGCCTGACACGGAGGATCGTCGACATAGGAGCGAGACTCGTGGTGCTGCAGCAGACTTGCGGCGCGAGTGCGATGATGTTTCACGCCAAATCGGTGATCGGCGGATTCGGTTTGACCACAGAAATCGCTGACTACAGCGACGAACGCGTGTACGGCGACACGCAAAAAATCATTACGATAGTGTTCGCGGTCCAAGTGAGCGGTTTTGGAAAAAAAAAAATTACATATTTACATAAATTATATAGCTGGGTAGGAACGTAAAACTGTTATAAAAACATTAACGTGACGACAATCACGCCGGGGGTAACTATTTTTTTTCTATACATTTATTATCAGCCGTCCCATGGGCCAACAAGTTAATTACGTTGTGTTACCTATTAAGTTTTGCCTGTTTTTGTGGGAATTGAATCCCTTTACTGCGCTATTCCATATCTATACTTGAATCACTGATCCAGAATATCTGTAAGATTAATAATGTCTTGAACTAAATTTCCTCGTATGAAAATAAAATACGATCTTTATTTAAAATATATTTTTTAAGTTACTTGTTTGACAGTATGTTTATTACTAAATCATTTCCGAAACTTGCTAGGTAAGTAGTGTGTCTTAATTGTCCCTTTCAATGCGTAGTAAAATTGACAAAAACGTGTTTTCAAATACCTACATCTTGATTGACGATAAACCCACTCCAAATATGAAAGGTTCTCATTAGAGAAAATTAGTCGGTAACAATAACGCGTTCTCCGGGTTTCCCGCAGGTCCTGCTGTGTCTCACCACGGCCGAGCTAGTAGAGTTTTTGGGCCGCAAATTCATGTTAATTGCGTCGGCCATCAGTATGGGCACGTGTCTGGCGACGCTGATGGTATACCACTCAATCCATCCAATCACAGATACATATGCAGTTCTCCAATCGAACCGAACGAGTGGCACAAATACGTGCACATCATACTCGTGTGCATGTATCTGTGGTCGTATTCGATTGGATGGGGACCGGTCGGGACGCTGATCTACGCGGAAGTGGTTTATTTCGACGTGAGTGTCTAAGAAATTGTTATCAAATAGCGTCGAGTTTTCGAATTGTATAATAAATCAACGTAAAAAATAATGTAAGAATTCGGCTGGACTGGATGACAAACGAATACAGGCATACAGCGTCTATAGTGTCTATACATTTGCACTTTTTGTGGCTCGTCGTCATGAGATTCATGACTAAAATACTAAATAAACAGGCATGATCACTAGATTATTTCACGCATATTTTATACTTCCCCAGACTTGGAGGAAAAACTAATATCACAGAAAACTCATGAAAAAAATTGTATTCCCATTACAATTACATAGGAATTTTACTGTTTCTGCCAAGTCTGGGGAAAATGCGCACTGATAGGAAAAATAGGTTGTTTGGCGATCATGCCTGTTTATTTAGTCATGATGAGACTGCATAGGCGCAATTTGGGGGGGTGCTTGGGGGTGCTTAGCACTCCAAAATTTTCAACAGCATCATTTAATTGTTATTGGTTATACACGTATTATGTCATAGACAACAGGATAAATTAATTTCTAAGATTTTACTTATATAATAATAATAATATTTCACTCGTATTTTTCGAATCGTTAAGTCTGTGCGACTGTGCGACGTGCATGTAACATGTTTTATTGTTTATCCTCATTAACTTCCTATATTTAATTTCATTTAAATTATATTTAATTTTATTTTAATTACCTACTCAAGTTGTTATTGTTTTTAAATTTTATTCTGGAAAATACTAAAAATATTTTTAGTATTTTCAATTTTGAAAAAAAGTCAAAAAATGATAATGATAAACACCAAGAAGTAAGTTTTGATATTTATTAAATGAAATAATAAATAATTTTGCTATGTCTCAAAGGCATATATCTTTATTATAATATTCAAATGAAAATAAAAAACGTATTTACCTGTATTATATATTTATTTTTCAATATTAATAATTATTGATTAATCAGGTAGTATTATGAATGCATGAATGGTGTTATGAGGGGGGTGGGGGGGGGCGAAGCCCCCCACGGGTTACTTTGGTCCACATAAATCTAGCACCCCCATAAATTTAGCCCAAATTGCGCCTATGTGAGACTGTCTCACAGTTATCGTCACCGTACAGTATTATTATAATGTATACAATAATAATAACATCTTCAAGTACATAATTTGGTTGGTAAGGGGGGGGACAAAGGGGGAGTTTAGCCCGACTAATTTTTAAGAGCGGTCCGATCGACGTGGCGTCTGTGAGATCGACCTATAACTATTAACTATACTATAATATATAATAAATTACTTCGTGTATATCGAATTTTACTTAAACTTCATATGAATATCTTTTGTAATAATCGTTTTGAACTGTTTATTTTATAATTTCAATGTTGCAGGTTAGATTTTTTTCCCAAATTAAAAAATAATAATACTAATCACGCAGCAAAATATTAAATATTTCGTAGTTTAACAACATAAAATATAGCATATTATCATATTATATAATATCCAATGTCATTGTAAATGTGTTACACAGAAATGGTTTTCGAGTTTGATATACGCCGGTGGCCAGTTCACATTGTTCCTGGTGGCATATACGTTTTTTGATTCCAACGCTCTGTTGAGCTTTAACAAGTACGTTATGTACACGTACATCGGGTCATGTGTCATCAGTGTGGCGTTTGTTCATTTCTGCTTGCCCGAGACTCGTGGCCTACCCCTGGACCGGGTGCTGGAGACGGAAAATAATTGTGTCGACCCCGAAAATGAATGATTATATCGTGAAGTTGTTTAGTTTTATTACGTTGTACTGCGTTGTGTTTACCATGTTTAACTACAGTAATATATATATATATATTGTTATTATAATTGTCGTTTTCTGTCAAAAAGTACACAACTTCGTCGTCTATACATGATTACAATATAATATATTTATTACTTTATGTATGCTTTTTATAATTATTTATAATCCTCACTGTCCGTCAATGTGTTAAGTGTATTTTGCACATATTTGCACATCACCATAAGACTAAATACTAAACATACTGTATACATATAACTTACATAAATGTACACCTAACACAACTTACCTATTGTACTTACAAGCCGTAGTATTTTAAGTATATAATACGACATTGTGCAATAGAACAATAAAATAAGATAATATTGTTCTCCACCTTATTATGTACATTTGTATAGAACAAATATAAACACAAAGTAAATACTTAATACTGTGGAGTACGATAATTTAATTGCTCCATATAAAGAATAATAGTGTCAGCAATAGTGCTGCAAATTACCAAAGGGCTTAATAAAATAATATTCAAAATTAAAATTCGACACATTCCAATAATAAACAATAATAAAAATGAAATATAATATGATCTTAAAACTCATGTGGTATTTGCAGGGCCGTATTTAGGGATTTTTCGCCCCCGGGCACAATATTTATGGCACCCCTTTCCAACACATTTTTTTAATACCATAGAAGTGGTGGCTAAATTTTATTTTTTTTTTTGGGGGGGGGGGCATAAAGTTAATTCATTTTAGATTCTGAGTGAAACGATGAATGTATTGATTTTACAATGATGTGTGTTTTTTTTTAATTTTTAATTTTTTTTTTGTATCTGTCAACACGTTTTAGGACAGTAAAAGTGCTTGGATTTTCTTCATCAGTAGCTTTTCTGATAGGAAAGTGAATCTAGTTGGTACTTTGGGGGGTCAAAAGTAAAAATTTCCCAGCAGTTATCACAAGCTTAAAAATTAAGGAAAAACGGGAATTTTTACGCAAAATCGGTTTTCCAAAATCGATTTTGGTTTTTGATGTAACTCTAAAACAAATGAACGTATATACATGAAAATTTCACTGGTTGTTTAAATTTGCATTTTCTATACAGGATAAAATTTTCAAAATATTTTGATTTATTTTGAACTGTTTAGGGACATTTTCATTTTCCATTTTTTCTAGTTTTTTTTCTAAAAATATCAATAAAATTTTATTTGTTGGTTGCGAAAGCTTGAAAATTTAGTAGAAGGCTCCTAATATATTGTTTCAAATGCAGATGAAAAATATTAAAAATCCTTAGTCAACATTTTTTTTTATAAGCATTTAAAGTTCAAAAATTGACAAAATATGGAAAAATCACGAAAATTAGCAAATTATTTTGAGTTAAGAATTCGTAAAAATTTTTCTTTTTAAATCTAAGATTTGAAAATGTAATTCAAGATTCCTTATAAGATTATCTACCTTTATCAAAAAAAAAATGTCTATAAGAAAGACAAATAAAATTTTTATGTGACGTTTGAAATTCAAATTTTTACAACATTGAATATTCACTCGATTTCTCATGTAGTAATTTCCTTATTTTGTTGTAATTCAAAAACGAATAACTTTAAATACATGAAAATTTCACTGAATATTTATATTAGCATTTCCTATACACCATACAATTTTGAAAATATTTTGACTCTTTTTGAGCTGTTTACGGACATTTACAGCTTTCAATTTTTTTTAGTTTTTTTTCTATAAATATCAATAAAGTTTTATCTGTTGGGCCAAAAAGTGTAAAAATTTAATACTAGGCTCCTGATATATTGTTACAATAACAGTTGAAAAATATTAAAAATACATAGGCACAGTTTTTTTTTATAAGCATTTAAAGATCGAATTTTGACAAAATTTATCAAAATCTCGAAAATTATCAATCATTATAATTAATAAATTATAAAATGTTCAGTTTTTATAGCTAAGGATTGCAAATTTAAAACAAAGGTTCTCATAAATAGTTCATACTGTAACCAAAAAATCTAAAAAATATATGAACACAGTTATTTTTTACAGACATTTTAAATTCAAATTTGGACGAAATTACATATTAAAATACCTAGAATAACTATTTTAGTTATTTTGTTGTGATTGAATAATATTATTCGTGTGTACTTGAAACTTCTTAAGTACCTATACTATTATATATCTATGATAGTATCACGTTTTTTATTGATGTATAACGCGTAAGTACCTAATGGATATTGTGATATGATTAATTTCGAATTTATTATAGGTACCTATTATTGGTCAATTTTTGGTTTAGTACCATAGTTATGTATATAATATTTCTTATACCTAGACTGACATACCGTCTCCGCTCAGAATCGTTTTTCTTATACAATGATATTATATCGTTGAATTCAAATTTAATATCATCCATTATACAGTGACCCACTTGTAACCTACTGTACAGCAGAGCGACACCCACTTGCCCACCTTTTTTATGTTTCCCTTTCTCATTGAAATTAAATTTGCAGTTCATTTTTAGCAATTTTAACTAGGTACCTATGCATTACAATATTAGATTTTTAATAGTAGGTAAACTATACAAAAAAACATAAGTAACTAATTTATAACTTAGGTCTTAGGTACTATCTACCTAGAATCTTCCACGATACCTAGTAGGTACCTACCTACTTAGTTAATAACGTTTATTTTTCTTTATTTAAAATGATAAAATATAGGTAAAAAAAATGTATGCTTATGTGAATTTAAAAAATAAATAGTAATAAAATTTATCATTTTTTAGAAATCTTTCTCTTTACAAAAAAAAATTAATTTTTTGTTTATTTTATCTGAGATAATTTTGCCGCCCCCGGGCAATTGCCCACCGGTGCCCCCCCCCTTAAAACCGGCCCTGGGTATTTGAGTTAAGCTAGATATAACACCGAAACAAAGCATTAGATAATTATATCATTAAAATCAACATAGGATAGAGGTGTTATTAGTATAAATAATAAATATTTTTATTTTAATTTTTACAAGATATTTACAATCTATTCAGAGAACAATAAGCAAATTAGATAAGAGTAATAAAAAACATGAGTAATATGACGGAAAAAGCCACCCAATGATGACACTACCTATTTTGTCAAAATATTAAAATTGGAATAAAAAATCAATAAGGAACAGCCGAATTTGCTAAGCCAGGACTAAGAAAATCTAAAAATGAATGTCCCACCATCAACTAAACTCTAAAGTATTGAATACAACATCACGTCAAAAACACATAAAATATAGGAATCTTAAATAAACTTGAAACAATTTAATTTACTTTCAATCATTATTTGGTTTAATATTATTATAAAGTAGAAAAATCATTCATCAAAGATGTAGACTGTAGACATGAAGAATAATGTAGCCTACAATATAATATGAAATCAACAGTGGAAATGGACTGTTATCACTAACAATAAGATTTAATTACAAAACACAAAAAAAATACTTTTACAAACTACAATCGAATTAAATTAAAAAGCACCTTTGAAATAAAATAACTTTGAAGCTCAAGATAGACTTTAACAACAAAAATCATTAAACATTTCATCTTCATCAATTCCTTCAAAAATATTTTGAATAATAGAGATTTCATTGTTTGAATATTGATCTTCAGGTTTAAATTCGTTTCTCGTCCGTTTGGTCGGCGGTTCTTCTGGAAAACTACTAGAAACGGTAGGAACACTTTTGAATAATTTATGAGCTATAGGAGTTTTGGGTTTGAAAAAACTTTTAACGGGTGATGATTGGCCAGGAATATTATTTGTGATTTGGTAGTTGACATTTGATGGTTGAGAACTATGATTGGTCGAAATGTTGTGTAACTTTAAATTATTAAGCGCATTCATCCGACTCTTAATATTCACAGAATGAGAATTTTTATTTAAAGCTTCCACGTTAAATGCATTCCATTGATTGGCTCCATTAACAATTTCTTCATTTGTCATATCTGTTGTCCGAGTCACAATTACTTCTTCAACATCCTCTAAAATTCCATACATAATTATTTAAAATTAGTACATTAGTATTTCTTAAGAGGATGTCACACTCACATGTGATATCTCCGTCTTACACACGTATGACATAGATAAAACGAGTTTACACTGACTGAGTAGAACTCACTCAATTTTAGTTCTAGAGTAAAAATACCTATTATGAAATTGAATTGTGACAATATTTCCGAGGGCGAGTTTTTTTCCATTATATCCCATATAACGTTCATTATATCGTTTAAAAATAGTAAATATTTCAACAATTTTAAAATAGCTTCAACTTTTAAAAAAATTTAATTTTTTATAAAAAATAACTCACCGTCTTGCCTTCCAAAATATTGTCATCTTTTAATTTTCTAATAGGTATTTTTATTCTAACACCAAAATTGAGCAAGTTCTACTCATACTGCGTAAACGTGTTTTGTTTATGCCGTACGTATGTAAGACGGAGACAATACATGCGGGCGTGACGTCCTTATAATATAAATTATTAATGCCATTCATACCAGAAGAATAACTGTAAATGGCAACTAAATGATCACTAGTAATATTTAGTGTAAATCCTTTGAGTATTTTTTGACATGATACGCCAACATTGGATAATACTAAAACAGCCCCTAGTTTTAATTGACTGCTAAATTGGTTCCAAACAGCTCTATGAATTGTTCCTCTGATATGTCCCGTTTTGTCGGCAAGTAGAACTGTTGGATCTGGTGATAAACAATCAATTTCTTTTAAAACAGAAACAAAAAATGGTATTTTATCCGTGAAAAAACGACCAGACGCAGTATACGGAAGCAGTTTCTGTTTTATCCATGCCACATTAAATTTATCTAACAAAATATCGACATCAGTGGTGAAAAAATCTGATAGGAATTGTTGATATGGTGATGAAGAAAAAGACGAGTCATTTGCTTGAGTGCACAAATTCTAAATAAAAATCATAATTAATAAAACATGAAATGTAGTATATTATACATAAAATATTATGGATGAGTGTCTAAATATCCTAAACTTTACTGTCATTAAAATAGAATAAAAAAGGGTTCATATTTTGAAGATAAATTATTATTTAAAAAATGTCGAGGGTAATTACCTCTTCTCTTTTATCATTATCGCTAATGTTAATTGACTTATCTAAAGATTCCAAGTTTGAAGGATCTTCTGAATAAAGATCTTCCTGAAAATAAAATTAAAGGAAACTATATAGGTACTTTAAATAAGTAATTTTATGAAAATAAACAAATTTTTTCAATTATAAATAAAACTATTATGTATTTACGTTTTCTGAAAGAAGACCAGCAGGTCCAGGAAATTTTCTAGATATACTTTTCGGAGTCATTATTTTTACACTAGTAATAGTTGTATTAAGATGACTATTGCAATTTGATTTATTAAAACCTGAAAAAGACAATTAAATATAATATATAATGCAAAAGTCTATAAAAATATCTAAAAACTCTAAACAACAAAAATATTATGCATGAAGAAATAAATGTGAGGTTGAAAGCAGCTAATCGATGTTATTTCACAATGGAGACCCTCTCTAAATCAAAAACACTATCGAAAAAAGTCAAAGAAAAACTTTATGTAAGCTACATAAGGCCAGTACTGACTTATGCATGTGCCACATGGTCCACAACTAAAGGTGACAAATAGAAACTAAGTAGATTTGAAAGGAAAATCCTAAGAAGAATACATGGTCCAGTATTTAATACCGAAACACAACAATAGGAATTGAGATCGAACTGATGAACACAAAAAGGAAAATATTGTGCAATTTATTAAAAGTATAAGAATTCAATGGGTCGGGCATGCATGGCAAGCAGACGGATGCCTAATAAAAGAAGTAATAACTTGGACGTTAGCGGGAAGGAGACCAAAAGGGAAGACCACGAAGAAGATGGATAGACAGCATAAAAAATATATGGAATGCGGCAGACCATGGTGGGGCGGATTGGCAAGTTATAGCGTATGATAAAGAAAAATGGAAGGAGATAGATTTAGCGGTAAAGATCCTCAATGGATTGTAAAACCGGAAAAAAAATGCAAGTCTTAATTAAGATGAATATTAATGATTTAAGATGTTAAATAAAAAATAAAAAAAATTTAAACTTACTTTTTATGCTTGAAGATTTTATCTGGTAAATTTTAGAATTGGCAATTGAAACCTGAAATAAAAAATATACAAATGTCAAGTTAAATACAATTTAAAGATTGATTAATTAATTAATGATTTATGTTTAGTAATAAATGTTATATAGAATAAAACCTCATTATGTTCATCATTAAAATCAAATTTAGCTATACAGTCATTGTTCTGTAATGGACTCCTAGGACCTTGGACTATATTGGATGTGTTGAAAAAACTCTGAAATACAAATAGGTTAAAAATAAATAACAAAAAATACAATACTACTGACAAAATATTTAATATATTACTTCGTCGTCAGAATCAAAATCATCATCAAAATTTAATTTATTTGGCTGACTTTCATTTAGTGATTTAGTAAATTCTGATTTGGATTGGGTTTCAAGCATATTTTGTGAATTCTTGAAAATAAACAAAATAAAGTTGCATAAGAAATATTTGTTCAAACTCACTATTCTTTTGGGTTTTAGTTTTTAACTAGAGTATTATTTTGATTTACTTTAGTTACTTGGAGTGTTTTAACCAAAATTAACTAACATTATGATCTCAATAGCCAATATTAAAAAAAAATAAACATATAATTATACTTACATCATTATGTTTAATTTGTTTTTTTGTTGTTTTATTTTTTAATTCAATATTTTCAGAGTGTGAAGATTCCAATTCAAAAACTGAATTTGATACATTTAGGAACATCTGAAATATAATCAAATACAAATGTTAATACTAACTAATTAAATAAAAATGTACTTAAATAAAAGTTATCATACTTCATCATCATCTTCAAAATTTGAACTAACAGGATTTGAATTTGATGATTTTAATGGTGATGTACCAGTGAGTGGAGGCATCTGGGTATTAAGAAATACCTAAAAAAAAAAATAGATACTGATAAGTAATTTGTAATGTAAATATTGTTATTATAATAAACAGTATAATATAATATTATGATATACACTTTGTGATAATTGTATTAAATAAAAATGTACAAATTAGATTTATATTCCCGTCTTACAGCCATATGAACAAATAGCGTTTGGGATTTGGGGGGGCCTAAAGCCCTACTTTGATAATATTGAACGTATTGAATGTATGTGTTTTGAAAATAAAATGTAGGAAATACTTGGGGGGCTGTGGACATTTTTGGGAAGGCTTGGCCCCTAAAGCTCCCCCCTTTTTTAAGCCTATGCTTACAACTAACAAGTTTTAAAATAACAACCATGTCCAATTTCAAACACAATTTTTTTATAATGTAGTTATAAAAGTATAAAATAAATTTACTTCATCGTCTAAATCAAAATCTTCAAGTTCAAACATGTTAAAGGTTTTTCACTGCTACACAAAGTTATCACATTTTACTGGTAATTGAAAAATAAATAAATTTTAAACGTATAAGTATGTACATTGCTTAACATTTCATCTTTTTATCGTATAAAACACTAAAAATTAATTATGGACTACCGTCGGTTCTACACTTTAATTTTCTTCATATTCTATACAATTTAAAATGTTTTCGTTTTAACAGCAAGTTTCTGTTACTTAGATATACTTTTAAAGTTAGTTCAAATTTTGTAAGTTGTAACTTTTCATATAGTAGATACCCGATCACAATATTTACTATTGTCGATAAAGACGTATACGGTATACCTAAATTTTTGTTCATTAACATTTTAAAAATAATAAATATTATTGTTAAATCGTGATTAGATGAATTTGATAACGGTTTTGATAAGCGTAAAAAAATGATAATGTTTTATCTAATCTAAAAAAACAGTTCTACCACATTCTGTTATTCTGTGATATTACCATAGTTAATAGTTATTAATTAATTGCATTTTTACCCAACGATCCACCTAGTGACGCATAAAATATATTAATTAATAGTTCGTGGTTATAATAAATTGAAATAAGTCATAAGTAGAATAATTTGAGAATATAAAGAAAAATAAATCGAAAATCATTTATTTGAAATCTTATATGTATGTTTCGTACTCCTTGGGACCACTGTAAAAATGTTTTAACCTCACAAAATGTACAATCACTAAATCTCTTTTTCCTAAACTAGCTCTTCTTGTTAGTGTTACTTGTTTTATTAATTTATTTACTTGTAATCGAAAAAGGATTTCACCGCCGTCAAAATGGTAAGTTTCATCCAAATTTATCTGAATAATCGTTCAACTAATACATAATATACCTCTGTGCTGAAAAAATTCATAACATTTTCAGTTTTTGTTATGTCTTAAGATTTTTTTCCTTGTTTGACTTGTATTTGTTTTTAATTGAACCAGACAAAATACAACTATGGTTATAATACAATTTTATTATTTCTTTTCTATGTTTCTTATTAATAAATTATTTTATTTTACAGGCCAAACGTACAAAGAAAGTAGGAATTGTAGGTAAATATGGTACCCGATATGGTGCCTCGCTGCGTAAGATGGTCAAGAAAATTGAAATCACCCAGCACAGCAAGTATACCTGTTCGTTCTGTGGAAAGGTAAGAATATTTCTTACAATATTAACTTAATCGATATTGAAAAAGTCAATAGGAACTGGTCGTGTGTTAAGTAGTGACCGGTTGAAAGGATTACTATTTGTTTTCAAGTATTAAATAAACTATTTTATTTCTATAAAATTGTACATATGTTTAATTTAAAGTAGGCTTCTGTTTTAACTACAAAAAATTCTTAATTTTTATATGATAGTATTTTTTTCATAAAATATTTGAGTCATTTGTTTTTATATTTTAAATTTACGTTTTATTATATTTTTAATCCATCTATTGAAATTAATTAAAAGGACTTGGTATGTTATAATTTATGGCTAGTGGATACTTAATAATTATAATAACAATAATTTACATTATTATCTATTTCTTATATCACGGACCACCTCAATTTTAGACCTTATTTTTCTTATAAACCAGAAACATGTTATTATTTCATACATTTTAGATTATGAATAGGTAAAGAAAAAAACATTAAATTTTCTTATAGCAGGCATGTTTATAATTGATCAATTTTAGTTAAAACTTTAAATTCATTAAAAATTTAATGTGAATTACTAGGTATTATAAAACAATTTACAACATATTATTATATTTATTATAATAGCTCACGGACCATAGGTTTGGAACCACTCTTTAAGATGCTCATAACCTTACATACATGGGATCAAAGTTATGTTTTTATAATTTTTTATTTATTAAAGTGGTATTCAGGCAAAATATAATACACAATATTCTTTTTAAATATATTTACTTCTTAATAGCTGAATACTGTGATCTCTTATTTGTATAATATGGTTAACTTCAGAGTATTCACAAAATATACTGAATTTTTTTTTTAATTTTATTATACTTGATAAACACTGGTTTAAAATATATTATAATAATTTTTTTTTTTTAGGAATCCATGAAGAGAGCTTGTGTAGGAATTTGGTCATGCAAAAGGTGTAGACGAACTGTTGCAGGTGGAGCTTATGTATATTCTACAACCGCTGCCACTACTGTACGATCCGCAATCAGACGTTTGAGGGAAGTGAACGACTTGTAATTTCCAACATTTGATTATTATCTAATATAAGGACATTAAAAAAAAAAAAAATTGTTAAATTTTTTCCTCATCCTTTAAAACTAATTTGTAGAAACTATTTACATTCCTCTTTATTAAGTTAAGTGTTGATATTTGTATAACATATACAGATAAAACATTTAAATAGGTAAATAAATGCTCATAAAAAATGAGCTTGTTTTAGAGAGTTGACTTCAAAACCTATTAGATATCAACAAACTTTGATTTTATTTAAGTATTACTTGTCCATTTCACATAAGTGGTCCCTAAACACATACTTTATATTTAATGACTGAAAGGTAACACTAGGTGAAACAATTGGAATATTATTGTAGAATAAATTTGTATTTTTAAGACAATAGACAATATTGCTTTAAAAAAATATTAAACAAACACTAATTTGAGCGGTCGTCAGCAAGCAGTACGTTCTTTTTGTTTATATGCACACTAGCACACTATATACTATATCTTAATTGAGCTAACTTCAAATATAGAAAAAACTTAATAACTTAATTTTACATTTTACATCATTGATTCACAATGATGATAGTTCAAAATTCCACTTTAAATTTGATATTGTATTAAACATATGAAGTTTAGGTATATGTAGATAGCTATAGTATAGCCATCGTAAGAACGCTACTGGCCGGCGACCAAAATTCATCCGATCTCGCGCATTCCCACCACTAAATCTTCCCGAACGCTGGCCGCCGCCACTGTCGCTGCCACTACTGCCTATTTACGGTGGCGACCACTGAACTCAATAATATTATTGAGTTCAGTGGTGGCGACTAGATGGTAGAGTCGGAGAAACTTGGGTACGAAACTGCGGAGCTCGGTCATTTGGATGCGCGAACGAGTAGCGTTCTTACGATGGCTATACTTTATGATAATAATATTTACTTCACAAAAAGTATCCCAAATATTGTTCAAATACTTTTTTTTAGAAGATTTAGATTTCAATAGCAAAAATATTATTTTTTCAATTCTGTGTTTATAGATGAACATTATTATAACCTCCATAATACAAAACTATCGGCTATCAGGCTATCTATTAGTTATAAATTATATTCAAATTAATATACCTAGTTAATAAGTAATAATTAGTAATGTACAAGAGTAGGTAAACCTATATAAGAAAAAAAGTATTCCGAATGCTGTACTCAGAATACTTTTAAAAAGTATTCAAAATACCGTAAAAAAAAAGTATTTAAAAAGTATTCCGAATACTACCTAAGTCTGATAATAATATCATATCTATAAGTACCTACCTATTCATATTTATTTAGTACCTATCGTACATTTGTACCTATACTTATATTCATTATTCATAATATTATCATGGTTTTATTTTACTATGGTTTTAACCATATAATATTAACCATCGACATATTAACTAAATATCACGATTAAAGATAGTATCTTTAATCTTGCTATATATATTAATAGCTGGTAGGTACGGGTACCTAAATCTATGATATTAACTGCAGCCTACAGGCAACGGATCCGATTTAGTTAATAATAGGTAGGTAATTATAACGAATTATGAATATTGAATGACAAGGATTAAACGATGCGTATAGTATAAAATATACTATAAATATTATTGACACTATAATTTTGAATTTTCTTGATCCAAGGGGGTGGGGTAACCCCTATCCATCCCCTCAACATGAGCACACCACTAGTAGTATCTAATATAGGTAGGTACCTATTTATTTTTTTTTTTTTAATCACATTCAAATAGCTGTTATATGTATTTAATATATACATTTGATTCGGAATTTAAAAAAAATCACTTACTTTTATAGCAACACAAAATTAAATTTAAGATATTCGTAGGTACTTATTTAATTATTATTCCTTTGTTTTCATCCGTGAGTTTCACACTGTTTAACACTATGTTTCGTAACATTAAACTTAATACCTACTTTTAGAGGTTTAAATTACATTTCACGCAACCGTATTGTTATACTTCATTCAAATATTATACTACTACGCAGTGGAGTATATTTGCTAAAAGAATTTTAATTTGGTTATTGTTTAGTTATAAACAAACACTGTTACAACATATTATATAGTTGCGCCGTCGGTAGGTAGATATTAACTTTAAATACCTACCTACCTACATTCGCTTACGAGAATTAATTAATAATAAATTACAAATATTTTACATCTTGTTCAAAATTCAAATTTAATGTTCATACAATACCTAATAATTTGCTACTATAACTTATAACTGTTATAAGTGGATTAAATCTACACTACTGCACATAATATATGCCTACGCCTATTATTTATTAAACTGTTTTTTATCATTATGATGCATTTGAGTATTGAGTGCCATTTCTAATACCTACATAAAATTTATTTTTGAGAGTTATTTATATAACCTTGAAATGTTGAAGTATAAAATATGGAGGGATCATTGATGTTTTCACCAAGTTAACTCTGAAAAATGTGTTTGAAAAAAGTTAATGTAGTTGGTGCATTCGGGAGGTCATAAAATTTTAAATTCTCAATAGGTTTCAAAAGCGCAAGGAAAAACAAAACAAAAATTAAGAAAAAAGGTTATTTTTATGCAAAATCGCTTTTCGACAGTTATGTACCTACACACTATAAAATAAATAACCTTAGATACACAACATTTTCACTGAATGTTAAAATAGCATTTTCTATAAATGATAAAATTTTCAAAATATTTTGACTCGTTTTGAGCTGTTTATGGACATATTCAGTTTCCAATTTTTCTAGTTTTTTTTTTCTATAAATAGTAGTAGGTACCTACCATTTTATTCGTCGGGTCAAAAAGCTTGAAAATTTAATACAAGGTCCCTAATATATTGTTACAATGGCAGTTCAAAAATATTAAAAAAGGTGGGCAAGTGGGTGTCGCTCTGCTGTACAGTAGGTTACAAGTGGGTCATTGTATAATGGATGGTATTAAATTTGAATTCAATGATATAATATCATTGTATAAGAAAAACGATTCTGAGCGGAGACGGTATGTCCTTTTAGGTATAAGACATATTATATACATATCTATGGTATTAAAAAAAATTGACCTATAATGAATTCCAAATTAATCATATCACAATATCCATTAGGTACTTATAACGCGTTATACACCAACAACAAACCCTAATACTATCATAGATATATATAGTAGATTACTTTAGAAATTTCAAGTACCCACGAATAATATTATACAATCACAACAAAATAACTAAAATCGTAATTCTTGGTTTAAATATGAAATTTTGTCTAAATTTGAAATTAAAATGTCTGTAAAAAATAACTGTGTTTATATATTTTTTAGATTTTTTGGTTACAGTATGAATTATTTAAGAGAATCTTTGTTTTAAATTTTCAACTCTTAGTTATAAAAACTGAACATTTTATAATTTTTTAATTCCAACGATTGATAATTTTCGAGATTTTGATAAATTTTGTCAAAATTCCAACTTTAAATGCTTATAAAAAAAAAATCGTGCCTATGTATTTTTAATATTTTTCAACTGATATTGTAACAATATATCAGGAGCCTTGTATTAAATTTTTACACTTTTTGGCCCAACAGATAAAACTTTATTGATATTTATAGAAAAAAAAACTAAAAAAAATTGAAAGCTGTAAATGTCCATAAACAGCTCAAAAAGAGTCAAAATATTTTCAAAATTGTATGGTGTATAGGAAATGCTAATTTAAACATTCAGTGAAATTTTCATGTATCTACAGTTATTCGTTTTTGAATTACAACAAAATAAGGAAATCGCTACATGAGAAATCGAGTAAAAATCCAATGTTGTAAAAATTTGAATTTCAAACGCTCATAAAAATTTAATTTGACTGTCCGGTAGAGATTTTTTTATTGATAAAGGTAGATAATCTTATAAGGAATCTTGTGTTTAATTTTCAAATCTTAGATTTAAAAAGAAAAATTTTTACGAATTCTTAACTCAAAATAATTTGCTAATTTTCGTGATTTTTCCATATTTTGTCAATTTTTGAACTTTAAATGCTTATAAAAAAAAATTGTGACTAAGGATTTTTAATATTTTTCATCTGCCTTTGAAACAACATATTAGGAGCCTTCTATTAAATTTTCAAGCTTTCGCAACCAATAAATAAAATTTTATTGATATTTTTAGAAAAAAAAACTAAAAAAAAATGGAAAATGAAAATGTCCCTAAACAGTTCAAAATAAATCAAAATATTTTGAAAATGTTATCGTGTATAGAAAATGCAAATATAAACAACCAGTGAAAATTTCATGTATATACGTTCATTTGTTTTAGAGTTACACCAATAACCAAAATCGATTTTTTGGAAAACCAATTTTGCGTAAAAATTCCCGTTTTTCCTTAATTTTTATGTTGTTTTTTCCCGGCGCTTGTGAAAACTACTGGGAAATTTATACTTTTGACCCCCCAAAGTACCAACTAGATTCACTTTCCTATCAGAAAAGCTACTGATGAAGAAAATCCAAGCACTTTTACTGTCCTAAAACGTGATGACAGACACAAAAATATAAATAAAAATATAAAAATATAAATAAAAAAAGGTGGGCAAGTGGGTGTCGCTCTGCTGTACAGTAGGTTACAAGTGGGTCACTGTATAATGGATGATATTAAATTTGAATTCAACGATATAATATCATTGTATAAGAAAAACGATTCTGAGCGGAGACGGTATGTCAGTCTATGTTTAAGACATATTATATACATATCTATGGTATTAAACAAAAAATTGACCTATAATAGGTACCTATAATAAATTCCAAATTAATCATATCACAATGTCCATTAGGTACTTATAACGCGTTATACATCAACAAAACCGTGATACTATCATAGATATATAATAGTACACTTTAGAAGTTTCAAGTACCCACGAATAATATTATTCAATCACAACAAAATAACTAAAATAGTTATTCTAGGTTTTTTAATATGTAATTTCGTCCAAATTTGAATTTAAAATGTCTGTAAAAAATAACTGTGTTCATATATTTTTTAGATTTTTTGGTTACAGTATGAACTATTTATGAGAACCTTTGTTTTAAATTTGCAATCCTTAGCTATAAAAACTGAACATTTTATAATTTATTAATTTCAATGATTGATAATTTTCGAGATTTTGATAAATTTTGTCAAAATTTGATCTTTAAATGCTTATAAAAAAAAACTGTGCCTATGTATTTTTAATATTTTTCAACTGCTATTGTAACAGTATATCAGGAGCCTTGTATTAAATTTTTACACTTTTTGGCCCAACAGATAAAATTTTATTGATATTTATAGAAAAAAAAACTAAAAAAAATTGAAAGCTGTAAATGTCCATAAACAGCTCAAAAAGAGTCAAAATATTTTCAAAATTGTATGGTGTATAGAAATGCTAATTTAAACATTCAGTGAAATTTTCATGTATCTACAGTTATTTGTTTTTGAATTACAACAAACTAAGGAAATCGCTACATGGGAAATCGAGTGAATATTCAATGTTGTAAAAATTTCATGTATATACGTTCATTTGTTTTAGAGTTACACCAATAACCAAAATCGATTTTTTGGAAAACCAATTTTGCGTAAAAATTCCCGTTTTTCCTTAATTTTTATGTTGTTTTTCCCGGCGCTTGTGAAAACTACTGGGAAATTTATACTTTTGACCCCCCAAAGTACCAACTAGATTCACTTTCCTATCAGAAAAGCTACTGATGAAGAAAATCCAAGCACTTTTACTGTCCTAAAACGTGATGACAGACACAAAAATAAAAAAAAAAATAAAAAAAAAAATAAAAAAAAAATAAAAAAAAATAAAAAAAAAAACACACATCATTGTAAAATCAATACATTCATCGTTTCACTCAGAATCTAATATAAAAACATACATCATTGTAAAACCAATACATTCATCGCTCCGCTCAGAATCTAAAATACAAAGTCACAGTTTATTTTTATAAGCATTTAAAGTTCAAATTAACAAAAGGTTTAAAAATCACGAAAATGTGTAAATTATTTTGAGTTAAAAATTCCTAAAAATGTTTCTTTTTAAATCAAAGATTTTAAAATGTAATGCAAGATTCCTTATAACTTATAAGTTTGTCTACCTTTAATAAATAAACTGAAGCAATTTTTTTACTATAAAGCATGTACCTACCTACAAACACAAAAAAAACCATATTGAGCACGCCCATGGTTTTTAAAATCAATACATTCATCGCTCTGCTCATAAGCTAAAAAAAGAAAATTAACTTTTAATTTAACTCACATTTTTTTATTATACCTCAATGAGTTAAAAAAAAATATTTAATTGGCCCGTTTATGCTAATAAGTTAGCAGAACTAATGACTTCGAGTACAGACTCGTGTTGTAACTTAAAAATTAATTATTTTAATACAATATCCAGTAAAATATAAATGCAGTCTAAAACTGATGGCTGATCACTATAAAATTGTTTATACATTTGAGACTCAGCGGAATCGATGGACAGTTTTAGAGACTATAGTAGATAGTATTAAGATTTAACAGCCCCGGTGGAAATGCGAAATCGATAATCCGTAGTCAATAGGTAGGTAGTTATACTTAAAAACATTTTTTAAAACAGTATTTTTCGGCGGAAACGATGTATTATATATCATCATCAGTTAAACCCTCCAAAACCGAGCCACAGATTAGTGATTACCTACTTACTAAGATCGGATAAGTAAAAAAAATTGTTTTCATTCGGTTTTATGTAGGTACCTAGGTATTAGGTATTATATTATTGTCTCACACACTCAAAACGTAGGTATAAGTGTATAACTATAATCTATAAGTTATAAGTAATCATTTTATGTACTTAATTCAATTAAAAATTTCCAAATTTAGTTTTTAAGAATACGAAAATTGTAGATTTTGTTCTCCAAATTATATAGAATTTTCCAAATTCTGTATCGGTGATAGAAGTTTTAAATTAATATGAAAATAAGAAAAGAACACTAGACAGAAAAAAACATCTCTAACAGAAAGGATTCTGTAAGGATCTGGGATACAAATAAATAGGAAATCGAAATTTAATTTTGCTTTTGAAATATTTAGTCCCAGCAAATATCTTTTATTGCATCTAAATTATATACATTGAAATTGTACAAAACTTTACATACTTTACACAACATAATATGAACATATTATTATTATGATACTATTACTATAATATAAGGTATGTATATATTGTATTGTATAATTAAATATATTTATTTAACTTATTTTATACATTATACCACAGATCACAGTTATAGCACACAAATATAAGCAAAATATTTCAAAATCTAACCTAAACCATTTTATAAAAAAAATATTATATAGCTGATAAAGCAAAATAGATAATTTTCAAATAGTAGACCACAGTTGTGAGTATTTTGTACAGTGTTTGAATTTTAATAATGCAAGTACATCAACTCTAGCTCATAATTAATATTAGATAGAAATCAGATAGGTGGGTTTAATTATTACTGTATAACTAAGTATGGTATATTTTTCATACTTTTCTCATTCGTATTCAAGTCTTACAAATGTATAAACTATGAACCATTGTAAAATCTTAAAACTAGATGCTTGCATTAATGAATACAAACATCAGAGGTTAAAAAAATATTATTTCTAGATTTCAGTCTTTTATAATAACAGGTCACTAGTTATTTACAAATGATCATACACAAACTAAATTATAACATAATCTAATGGTATATTAATACTTGCAGATATTTAACTTAGAATAAATAATTAAATACATTGTACACTTTTAACCTAATAGATGTAACAGTAATTAGTCCTAATATTATAGATTGTTTAAGTAGTTTTTACTTATTTTGGAAACAATCTTAACTTAAAAGCTCAAATGCTATGAAACTAATATCGGAAGGAAACATTTTCAGTAATGAAACAATTTATCATTACAAACATTTGAAAAAAATATCATAAATAAAATATTATTCATTCTTGTTGGGACGTAACATGTCTACAGCATAATCCCTCCACTTTTTTATAACGGCAATTTCTTTTTCTGATGCACCAATTTGTTGCTGAATGTACTTGAAAGCAGTATCCAAGGCCAAAGCACCTCGCTGATGATCTACTCGCTGTGCAATTAAATCATGCATATTTAGTTTCTTTCTAGTTTCATTAAAGTTATTCTACATAAAAATTGAAAAACAATATAATTTAATAACATCAAGTTAGTTTCAAATAATTAATATTACAATAACAATTAACAATATATATTATATTGCATTGTGAAACTTACTTTGCAATGATTTTTAACAACTATAACTTGAGACATGGTTTTTTTGTTAATTTTCTTTGGTAGCTCTTTTACAATCTGTTTAGTTGTTTCTTTACAAGTAATTGGAAGTTTAGCTTTAGATGTGCCAGTTTTCTCATCTTCATTGTCACTGTTTATAGATATTCGAGGCCTTTTTCTTTTACTATCAACTGTTTCATTATCATTGTTAATACTTTGTTTTGATACAACACCAGGATTAATAAAAATTGTAGGATGGTTTTTTTGTAAAGGTTTAGCAATGCTTTTTTTATTGATCAGCATATTATGTTTACTCTTAATAGCTTCTGTTGGTGAAAAACTTATTTTTGGTTTTACTTTATCTGACGGTGAAGATATTGTATTCTCATCATACTTTTCTGACTTTGATACATTTAACTCGGGTAAACAATTTTGAAGTTCTGAAATAAAATATTATATAGTTAACTAGTTCCATTGTGTGTTAATTTTTATTACAAAATCTGTAATAACTATGATTTATTATAATTTTTAATGTGCATGTTTCAGGATAAACTATAGGGTACTTTCCTGCCATAAGAGACTACAGCTATTATCGCGACTACCATCCAAGACTACCTCCATTATCCCGACTACCGTGATTGTTTTGTGAAACAATTCTGTTATCTAAGACTACCAGAATGTGCATGCTTTCCTATTACCACAGACTACCTTATTTTTATTAATTAAGTCATATATAATTCTTTGATATATTCTTTAATATGTAGGTATTGTGGAGATAGCGATGCTCTAATTTATTATATAAAAAAAAAAATTAAAATTAAAAAAGAATAGATTTTAATTTCAAGTAATCACTTGTAATATATTTTACACGGTGAAAGTTAATACAAAGAATAATATTATCGTTGTCGCCAAACAAGAACAAAAATGGTAAATCCACAAATTAAATAATAATTATGTGGATGGCCACATTTGAAATATATAAAAAAAAATACACTAAATTATATTTATAAATTCTTTACTCAGTTAATTTGAAAATTATACATAACCCTATAGTTAACTGATTTCTACTCATAACATTTTTCATATGCAAAGATTCATCATTGATTTCAAGTTTACAATAACAATAGTTATAACACTATCTTGTTTTGTCTGCCAAGATAATGCAAACGAAACAAATCCAAACCAGCCACTCTCTGTAGTTTATCATTTTATTTTTTTCATACTTAAATTTAATAACTTCCAGATAAATTCAAGTTTAAAATGCACTTATTTAGTAATGTCTAATAAATAAGGACAATCATACTTTCTCTACTAGATGTCTGTATATTATTTCCATTGTCAACACTTGAATTAAGTTCTTCTTTTACTTCAACGGTATTGTTCAACTTTATATCACTCGTTTCACAGATTGAAATATTATCACTTTCCTTTTTTTCATCAGTTGTTATACTTTCTTCAGGACTTTGGAGATTGTCTGTAAAAGTATAAATATTATTACTATTTAATCCAATTGTACATGGCTATACATAAAATAACTATAATATCTGAATGAAACTGGTTTAAACCTTTTTTAAAAATTAAATTTACTTATATCTGATAATAAATCAACAGCTGATGAAAGTATAAACTAATATAGTCTTTCAATGTCAATAGGCTCGATCAACTAACCAATAATTCAAGCAAAACCAGTAAATAAAAATAATATTATTTTACTCACATATAGTAATATGCAAAATAATTATTAATTTGTTTTTATAAGAACTATTATTTGAATAATCAATTTAAAATTAACAGAAAAACCATAAACCAGATTTTTAATATTATTAATTTCCAATAATATTGTTGAACAAATATTTTGTCTATTCTTATGACTTAATGGCATAATAAGAACATTTCCCTACAATGACAACTGGTAACAAGCAATTAAACAATTAATATATTGACAATTATATATCAAAAATACTTATTTTAATAACATTAATAGTCATTGTATTTTCATTACTTAATGTTAGAATAATAGATATAACCAGTGCTTAATAGGCAAGGTATTGGCCCACCGAGTTTTAAGATTTTAACCGATCCTAAAAAAGTTAATGGCCCATTTTTCTATATTTGTTATTTATTGTTTAGAATTCAAAGTGTTCAACAATGTTTGCCTATATATTACTTTACGGCCTACAGAATTCAACTATGTAACTGACCGGGCCTATCGGAGTTTGGGGCCTGAATATAACAATAAAATAAAATAATAGTACAAATGGTATATATTGTATTTATATTCACAATAGAATAACCCTACTGGAATATACATTGAAAGAATGAAATTCCCTGGAGTGATTCTCTATATTGCTAACTTATAATATTCTAAAATGAATGGTATTTTTTACACTTATAGGAGTTATACTGTAAAATTTAGCCTAAATGTTATAAATTCAAAGTTATTTAAATTACCTGATACAATCTGATTTGTTGTACTGACAGTCACTTGTTGCAATTTTTTAATAATTGTTGACAACCATTTCACAAAAACAGTTGTATTACTCTCCATCACAAAATCAATACTTTTAGCCAACTCAGAGCTAGATTTTTTAGTAGTAACCAACAGCATAATATAATCAATTATCTCATCGCCTAAAAAATTTAACAAAGATAATTTAAAATAATCTAAAAACATAAAATATGTATAATATAATATAGGCACTTAATTGTCCTAACAAATTAAAATGAAAAGTTGGAAATCCAACAATAGAAAAAAATTATTAAATTTATTACAATATAAAATAAATTAAATAATGTATTTTCAGTAAACTACCTACCTAATGAAATGTTTTAAAATATAGTAATATTTGATAGTCAAAAAATGTTAAATTTGTATTTATGTTGAAATTAACAAATATTTACTATTAAGTATAATAAAAATATGCATTCATATTTTTATCATAATTACCTATGATAAAATATAATATACTTCTTCAAGTTGCATGAAAAATTATTTAATTAAATGGTTCACCAATATTTAATGTCAGCCACAAAATCATGTTAAACAGACCATAAGATCACAACTGATTCATTAAATGTAGAATGATTGTTTACACAATAATATTACTTTAATACTTTATAATATTGAGAATGTAGTATTTTTTTTTTAGTATAATAATAATTAATCGTACTTTCTGGTTGTAAATATAGGTAGCTAAACATATAAATGTGTTTGAAAATGAGTAAATATTTTATTATTTTACAAATATGAAATTATGAATATCTACCTATGGTAATTATTACTTACTGCTATTTGCATTCATTTCTTTCAGTTTCGCTCGTATTGCTTCCTATAAAAGGCATAGGTATTATACAATATATATTTAATAAATACTACAAGACAAAACTTGCCTTTCTTCAATTATTATAAGGCCTAAGGAATAGATTAAATGAGGTCCTATTATTATGACTATTTTGATCATAATTTATCAAACAGTCATAATAATTAAAACAATATTTTAGTTGATATAAAATGTTTAGATCGAGATTTTCAAAAAAAGATTGATACACATCAAACGTAGTAGATATCGACTTGTATCATAGTCAGATACAGGTCGGTATGTTTTGCACTACTTTTGCTGGTACATTGCATAATATGTAACAATTTAAATTTTAACTGATACGTATCAATACATCCCAATTTCTTCTTTGAAAATCTTTAATATATTTCAAAAAAATTCAACTGGGCTGTTAAGTAATAGATACTTCATAACGAGAAGATTTAAATTATTATTAGATCGAAAAACTTACTTTAACTTTTATAATGACTTCGTTGCGTAAGTTGTCCATGGTTATAATTGTAATTATTGTTAGAGACAAAAACTTTAAAAGTCCAGTATTTACGAATTACGAATGTCGATAAAATATCGTTGCCGTCCCGTACTAGACGTACTCCGGTCACCGGTGTACATATATAATTTATTAATATGAAAATATTACCAACTGACTCGACATAAGTAATAATAATAAGATTGTATAAGAACATATTATTAGAATAAGAACTTAAAATAAAATTTACAAAATAAAAATTACAAAATCAACACCTTATCAATTATCTGACAAATTACTATATTACAATAATAACGTTAATGGTTATTTCTGTGGTGTTTACATTATGTATATTATTATCTATATCATAGACATTATATATTATGTCTATGGATAATATCTTTGAAATCGAATTACTCTCTTTAATCCACGGACATACAGAGATATACAGGACTGGACACGAGATGAATATTGTGGTTACGAAATGTTTTACAACAGGCGGAGTTCGGGGGGATATTTTCCTTTTAGCATTACTAGCGCCGTCTTAGTGGATACTTATGGAACTAGAAATTTGTATGATGTGTTCTAGTTCCATAAGTATCCACTAGGACGGCGCTAGTAATGCTAAAAGGAAAATATCCCCCCGAACACTGCCTGTTGTAAAACATTTCGTAGTCAACCCCCCCACACCCTCCAACCTTGTCGTGTCCAGTCCTGTATATCTTAGTCCGTGCTTTAATCTTTATTATCTACAATAATTTTTATCAATATCATTGATTTTATAATATACTATATTATAAAATCAATGTCAATATCAATAATAATTTTTATCATATTTTTTAACGTATTTTATAACCACGAATTAAGATATATCTTAATTCGTGTCTATAACTATACAAAAATATATTGTAAAAGTTGTATAAACGTGTTGTATTTGTAAACACCGTATTAGCACAGAATAGATTAAATCAGAATGGTCACTTCTCAAAAAATTACATTATTCTTATGGAAAACTGATAAGAAGGTCCACCATATTGAATGCAAGCATCAGTGTTGCCCAGAAAATAAATCTTAAATTTACCTCTTACAATACAATAGTTCAGTTAAATATTTTATTTATTTATTTATATTTGCAATTAGGAATACTGTTATTTATGTTATTATATTTTAAAACTGGCTGAATAGAAAGACATTTACCTTTGGAGTATCATAAAATTATACAGTTCCATTATGTGTTTTATTCTAAAAATCTGGACCTGTTAGAGAACCAAGACTGGTCTATTCAAGAATATATGATTCAAATATCAAGATATTTGTATTTATTTTCAACAGATTATATTCTTCTTTTCTTTTTAAATACCATATTTGGTAACTTTATTGAGATTTAGATTAACTCATAAATATCCAACAAGATATTAAAATATACCACACATAAATATGTAACATTCAAAATAAAATCAATAGTTAATATGTGGTAAAAAACTGATTTTTTTTGGAATATATTTTATTTTATTACTGTACAATATTGGTGTAAAACAAATAGAACACAATTACACAACTATAAAAAACTAAATGAATTCAAAAAATATATACTTAACTCATGTTTTTTTTATATAATTAAAGAATATAGGTGACACTTTTGGGATACAAATAAAACATAATTCATCATTGTGTAATAATAATTTTTTTTTATTAACAATGAATACAAAGAGTAACCAAGTAATCTAATAATAATAGTTACATTTTTATTTAAAAATTGGACACAATAAAGAAAGTTATATATTTTAAAAATACAATTTTTGTTTTTGTTCTCCACATCTAAATACTTATTAACTTACCAACATCTTTAATCTTTATCAGAATTTAATCTATTCTGTGGTATTAGTATTTAGTGCTAACATTTTAGATTCTGAGCGGAGCGATGAATGTATTGGTTTTACAATGATGTATGTTTTTATATTTTTTTTTATATTTTTGTGTCTGTCATCACGTTTTAGGACAGTAAAAGTGCTTGGATTTTCTTCATCAGTAGCTTTTCTGATAGGAAAGTGAATCTAGTTGGTACTTTGGGGGGTCAAAAGTATAAATTTCCCAGTAGTTTTCACAAGCGCCGGGAAAAAACAACATAAAAATTAAGGAAAAACGGGAATTTTTACGCAAAATTGGTTTTCCAAAAAAATCGATTTTGGTTATTGGTGTAACTCTAAAACAAATGAACGTATATACATGAAATTTTTACAACATTGAATATTCACTCGATTTCCCATGTAGCGATTTCCTTAGTTTGTTGTAATTCAAAAACAAATAACTGTAGATACATGAAAATTTCACTGAATGTTTAAATTAGCATTTTCTATACACCATACAATTTTGAAAATATTTTGACTCTTTTTGAGCTGTTTATGGACATTTACAGCTTTCAATTTTTTTTAGTTTTTTTTTCTATAAATATCAATAAAATTTTATCTGTTGGGCCAAAAAGTGTAAAAATTTAATACAAGGCTCCTGATATACTGTTACAATAGCAGTTGAAAAATATTAAAAATACATAGGCACAGTTTTTTTTTATAAGCATTTAAAGATCAAATTTTGACAAAATTTATCAAAATCTCGAAAATTATCAATCATTGAAATTAATAAATTATAAAATGTTCAGTTTTTATAGCTAAGGATTGCAAATTTAAAACAAAGGTTCTCATAAATAGTTCATACTGTAACCAAAAAATCTAAAAAATATATGAACACAGTTATTTTTTACAGACATTTTAAATTCAAATTTGGACGAAATTACATATTAAAAAACTAGAATCTAGTTGGTACTTTGGAGGGTCAAAAGTATAAATTTCCCAGTAGTTTTCACAAGCGCCGGGAAAAACAACATAAAAATTAAGGAAAAACGGGAATTTTTACGCAAAATTGGTTTTCCAAAAAATCGATTTTGGTTAATGGTGTAACTCTAAAACAAATGAACGTATATACATGAAATTTTCACTGGTTGTTTATATTTGCATTTTCTATACACGATAACATTTTCAAAATATTTTGATTTATTTTGAACTGTTTAGGGACATTTTCATTTTTAATTTTTTTTAGTTTTTTTTCAAGAAATATCAATAAAATTTTATTTGTTGGTTAAAAAAACTTGAAAATTTAATAGAAGACTCCTAGTATATTGTTTCAAAGGCAGATGAAAAATATTAAAAATCCTTAGTCACATGTTTTTTTTATAAGCATTTAAAGTTCAAAAATTGACAAAATATAGAAAAATCACGAAAATTAGCAAATTATTTTGAGTTAAGAATTCGTAAAAATTTTTCTTTTTAAATCTAAGATTTGAAAATGTAATACAAGATTACTCATAAGTTTGTATACCTTTATCAATAAAAAAATCTCTACCGGACAGTCAAATTAAATTTTTATGAGCGTTTGAAATTCAAATTTTTACAACATTGGATGTTCACTCGATTTCTCATGTGGCGATTTCCTTATTTTGTTGTAATTCATAAACGAATAACTATAGATATATGAAAATTTCACTGAATGTTTATATTAGCATTTCCTATACACCATACAATTTTGAAAATATTTTGACTCTTTTTGAGCTGTTTACGGACATTTTCAGTTTTCAATTTTTTTAGTTTTTTTTTTTATAATTGTCAATAAAATTTTATTTGGTGGGCCAAAAAGTCTGAAAATTTAATACAAGCTTTCTTATATATTGTTACAATATCAGTTGAAAAATTTTAAAAATACAGAGGCACGATTTTTTTTTATAAGCATTTAAAGTTGGAATTTTGACAAAATTTATCAAAATCTCGAAAATTATCAATCGTTGGAATTAAAAAATTATAAAATGTTCAGTTTTTATAATTAAGAGTTGACAATTTAAAACAAAGATTCTCTTAAATAATTCATACTGTAACCAAAAAATCTAAAAAATATATAAACACACTTATTTTTTACAGACATTTTAATTTCAAATTTAGACAAAATTTCATATTTAAACCAAGAATTACGATTTTAGTTATTTTGTTGTAATCGTATAATGTGCCCAAAACCTGTTTTTGGTCTCTCAACAATCCCCTCTGATGATTTCTCACTCTATGCGCTGTCCATTAGTTTATAGGTCTATGCTCTATGGTATAACATAGAATATTATATAGTACCTATTCTATTCTAATATTCTATGGTATAATGGATATGGATTTTGTATAATAAATGAAATGTTTTGCTATCCGACCAAGGTTTATCAGCTTCATTTTTACAATGTACTATGACGTACATAACATAATGTAGAAGTTATCTACTGTAGTATAGAAGTCTGTGTAAATTATGTACCACATTTTACAATAATCATAGAATATAAATAGGTATGAGTGTATGACCTCAAAATCAAGGTGGATTTTTATAGCTAAGGATTGCAAATTTAAAACAAAGGTTCTCATTAATAGTTCATAGTTCATACTATAACCAAAAAATCTAAAAAATATATGAACACACTTATTTTTTACAGACATTTTAAATTCAAATTTGGACGAAATTAAATATTAAAAAACCTAGAATAACTATTTTAGTTATTTTGTTGTGATTGAATAATATTATTCGTGGGTACTTGAAACTTCTAAAGTGTACTATTATATATCTATGATAGTATCACGGTTTTTGTTGATGTATAACGCGTTATAAGTACCTAATGCAGCGATTCCCAACCTCAGGTCGCGACCAAAATTAGGGTCGCGGAGGTTTTTATGGCGGGTCGCGAAATCATTACATACGTCTTACAATTTACATATTATTAAAAAAAAATAAAAAAATCCTGAAATATTCTAATAATAAGAATTATAATGATCGAGGAAAAAATAATTTGAAATAGATTATCTAAATGATCTGTCGCGGGCTGTGCGTGGTCGTACCCGCATAGCGTAGTAACAGGTATATATAATTTATATTTTTGCTCATAATAAATTAAGGCCATATTACCTACATTTGAAAAAATTAATAAATTCATTTTTATAATACAT